GGGCTCTTTGTTCTCGCGTCCTGCCCTCAGGGATTGGGTGGGGCATACCTGGCTCTGTGCGCGCGTTTCAGCTGGGAATCCTGGTGGTATGTGTCCAGCGCAAACTCGGACCCAGGAGCCCTGCCACTCCTGGAGAACTTGCGGTCTGGGCGCAAGGCGCGGGGGGCGTATCACAGGTTTTTAAAAGAATACATGTCTAATTCTATATCGTGGAATTTTTGCTATATTGCAGGATTTTGCGGTATGTAGGTATTTATATAATATTTATGATTTTAATTATTTTTGTGTAAAAAATTTAAAACAATATAAAAATGTTAATTCAAACATATTAAAAGAATATTAAATTGAAGTACAATACAGTATGGATTTCATCAGTGGATGAATACTGTACTGTACATAGTGGAAATGCAGTACATCACTACTGCTTGCCCAAGTTTGCCAACATGAGATTGTACATGGCACACTACTGGCTGATGGAATGGAAGGTGACCACCCACAGCACTGTGTTCTGTATCCTGGGCACAGATTGGCTCAGTGACTGTAGCATCAGCCTGTTTGCCCTCCCGCACTGTGCCCATACATTCAGCATCTCTCCTTAGCCAGTTTACATTGAGTACCCATATAGAGTTTTACATGTTGTTAAAATTACATAGGTTTAAGAGTGGAGAAAGTGTTTAAGAGCATATGAAGCACTTAGAAGAGTGTGGGAAAGGTTAATAAGAGTGGGAAAGGTTTATAGGAGTGTGGGAAGGGTTTATAAAGCCTTAAGAGATATATAAATAATAAAATACCACTATGCGGATTTTCACCTATTGTGGGGGTCTCTGGAATGTAACTCTGATAGGTGATGGATCACTGTATCCCCCACACTACCTAAGAGCTGAATAATATTTTATTCCTTCCCTTCTTTTTGTTCTCATGCCTCCTTGTAAGCAAGTGAGGAAGCGGGACGAGAGAGCAGTTTGATGCATCGGGGGGCGGGGAGTGGGTGGGCATCCCGGGGCTGGAGTGAGACCTGCATGTCTGCTCTCTCCTGCTGCATGGTCATGGACATTCACCTCCCCACTCCCCCAGGCCTTGCTTCTGAAGATCCAGGACGCAGTGGCGAAGGCAGGGCAGGTGGTGCGGGAGGCAGTTGGAGGGCTACAGACCGTGCGCAGTTTTGGGGCAGAGGAGCAAGAGGTCTGTCGCTATAAGGATGCTCTGGAGCAATGCCGGCAGCTGTGGTGCCGTCGAGACCTGGAAAAGGGCCTGTATGATCTCTTCAAGAAGGTGAGACAACCACACCTTGGGGAGACGGCCGGGAGCAACTATCGGTTCTGGTGTCCCTTGCACTCAGTCTTGGGCAGGGAGGGGAAAGGACAGGAAGACTCCCTCAGCCTCACCTCTTCCTCCTCCTACCCCAGCTGCTGCGTCTAGGCTCGCAGGTGATAATACTGAGCTGTGGGCGGCAGCAGATCCTGGCGGGCGAGATCACCCGGGGCTCGCTGCTGTCCTTTCTGTTCTACCAGGAGGAGGTGGGGCACTATGTGCAGGTGAGTGAGGAGCCCACACTTCTCCTACCTTTACCTTCTGTTCTGTCTCTGGGTCTTGGCCTTTATTTTTTACCTTTAACAGAACAGGACAAAATGTACGATGCCAACTAATTTTGTAATGGTGAATTTCAGACCTATTTAAAAGAAGAAAAACAATGGGAGACGCATGTACCCAACGCTTGCATTAGCAGTGGTCACCTCATGGCTAATTCTGTTCGGTCTGTAGTCCCAGCCGCTTCTCACCAATATTATTTTGATGCAAATTCAAGATGTGTAATTCAAATTCAAGAGTATGTAATATCTATAAGATAAAGCCATCTAGAATAATGTATCATCTCATGGTCATTATAACACCTAAAAATCGGCAACAGCTTGTAAAATTGACCAAATATAGTCACTGGTCAGTTTTCCACCTTCTTAGATATGATGCCTAGCTCACGTCAGGATCCAGATGAGGTCCCTCATTATGATTTGCTGCTGCATCTTTTAAGTCTCTCCATCTCAAATTTTCTACTTGGGTTTATTTAGTGAGGAGGTAGATTGTTGTCCTGAAGCATTTTTGTCCTGTTGGAGTTTTTTGATTGAATGCTTGTAGTGTTAATATGTTCCTCTGTTTCTAGAATATTTCCTATCCACCGGTAGATATCTAGAAGTTTGTGAGATTTGAAAATTTTCTCCTTTTGACAGTGTATGCCCTGCGTGCCGGTATGTTCTTTGGGTAGGAGATTCTCAGTGTCTTTTTGGTGGCAATAGCCACTGGTGCTCAGTGCCCAGTGTGACAGTGTGACAGTTGCAAGAAGGTGATGTTCCAGCATTTGCCATCAATTAACTAGAATGCTTCAACCAAGGGAGACTGTCCTCATCTACCTTTGGCTTACCCAGGGGTGTGGTTTGATGAGGACAGAAAGAGCATTTGCTTTTTGCTCTGCATTTCCCAGTCATTTCCAAGACATTGATTCGCCATCTTTTATGTGTGAAGAACTCAGGTAGACACTCTGGTGGCTGTAAAAGTGAGTCCTGTGCAGTGCCTTCTTTTAAGGCTTTGCCTGTCTAGTCCAGCACGGTGCAGGAGGAATGCACAAGAAGAGTTACAAAGGTCTGGGGATAGAGTGAATGCCGTGTGGTCAGAGTTTGGACTTTAACTTTTTTCCACCGTGAACTGGGGCACTGAGGAGTTGTCACTTTAAAATCCCGCCCAAATTGCACATTGAAAGGCAGAGAACACTGCTGTGGGTGTGGTTGTGAGTGGTGTGTGATGGGGAGCCCGTGAGGAGCTGAGCAATTGGTTCTGGTGAGATATGTGTTCGGCTGACCTGTCCATTCCTGTCTTCCAGGCCGTGATGTACATGTATGGGGACATGCTGAGCAATGTGGGAGCTGCTGAGAAGGTGTTTTGCTACCTGGACAGAAAGCCCAATCTGCCTCAGCCTGGCACACTGGCCCCTCCCACGATGCAGGGGCGTGTGGAATTCAGAGATGTCACCTTTGCGTATCCCAACCGCCCCGACCAGCCTGTGCTCAAGGTGCCTGAGCGAGGTCATAGGGAGGGAACCTGGGTCCTTTGTTCTCTGCTGCTAATGCACGATCAGGTGTTGCGGTAACCAGAGATTTCTTTTTATATTTTTGTTTTGTTTTCTTTTCCGGTACCGGGAATCGAACTCACCACCTTGTGCTTGCCAGGCAGGCGCTATGCCGCTGAGCTAAATCCCCAGCCCAACGATCAGGTGTTGCATCTTGTAGATCATTTGCCTTTGAGAAGGCTGTCTTGCTTCTGCTAGAAAGAGAAGGGAGGCGTCTTGTAAGAAAAGTGGTGTGGCCTTAATTCTTTCCTGTTTCTCCAGGGGGTAACATTCACTCTGCACCCTGGGAAGATGACGGCCCTGGTGGGACCCAATGGCTCTGGGAAGAGCACTGTGGCTGCCCTGCTGCAGAATCTGTACCAGCCCACGGAGGGCCAGGTGCTGCTGGACGGAAAGCCTGTCTTAGAATACGAACATCACTACCTGCACAGACAGGTGGGCAGGGAAGGAGACGGGTAGTGGGTTGAGGAGAAGGGGTGCGCAGAGACGGAGGATGTGGGGTCCATGGGAATAAACAGTGGGTCTATTCATGGGAAGGCATGAATGGAGTTCCCCACCCTGTGGGTTACACACTGCCCTGTGCTCCCTTCCCCCGCTTCGCAGATGTCTGTGGTGGGGCAGGAGCCTGTGCTGTTCTCAGGCTCTGTGAGGGACAACATCACCTACGGGCTGCAGAGCTGTGAGGATGAGAAGGTGGTGGCTGCCGCCCGGGAGGCCCTTGCATATGACTTCATAGAGGAGATGCCAGATGGAATACACACGGGTATCGGCTGCAGATTGGGAACCTGCCCTTGCCCTCGAAGAGAACGTGGAGCTTCTTGGGGCGAAGGCTGGGTCCCTGTGACCCCGTGTTAGCTCCTTCCCACTTCTTCCCTTTGCTCCCACCTCCTGTTCTTCCCCACCTCAAGCATTGCTCCGCCCCCACCTTGTTGGAGAGTCTTTGTTCCCAAAGGACAACGCAGAAGTAGAGCTTCCCCCTCCAGGGCAACTCCAAGGGCCCACCCTCCTGACGGGTTGGATAGGAGACAGCCAGTACAGTCGTCCCTGCTCATGGGGAGGAGCGCTGTTCTGAAGCTGTGTCTGAGGAGGCATTTTCTCGGATTTCCTCAGATGTTGGTGAGAAAGGAAGCCAGCTGGCCGTGGGACAGAAACAGCGTCTGGCCATCGCCCGGGCCCTTGTGCGGGACCCACGCATCCTCATCCTGGATGAGGCCACCAGTGCCCTGGATGCCCACTGTGAAGAGGCTGTGAGTAGCGGGGTGGGACAGCAGGGTCGGAGAGGTCAGGTCTGCGGGGTCACCGTGTGTGGAGCTGGGAGGGGAGGACAGGCGGCCCCTTAGTGGGAAGAGTGACTGCCTTGGCAGGGCTGGGGATGGGGTGGAGAGCATGGTGGTGGGAGGCGTCCTTGACTGCTCCCATGCTGCCTCCCATCCTCAGAAGCAGCACCTGCCAAGAGGGAGCAGCAGGGCAGACTGTTCCTGCTGCCCTTTGCAACCCCGCGCCTCCTTTACACAGAGTCAGAAGCCGTGGCGCCCTGTTGGTTTCTGGTGTCCATCCCATCCTCACCTTTCTGATCCTGTCCCTTCAGCTGCAGGCCTGGAAATCCCGCGGGGACCGAACTGTGCTGGTGATCGCTCACAGGGAACACGCAGTGCAGAATGCCGACCAGAAACTGGAGCTCAAGCAGGGCGAGCTTGTGGACGTCGTCCAGCTCAGGGTGGGGTAGGACCTCAGTGCTTGCCTGGTGCAAGGCTGAGACCTCCGGACACTGGGCCTATCAGGGCTGTTTCCAGAATGCCCACTGCAAGTGCCTCATGCTCTTCAGTTTTCCTGGGGCTGTGTGCCTGGGGAGTTATTCCTGGAGCTCGGGGTGTGGTAGAGATTGGACCACAGGTGCTTTGGACTTGCTGAGCTGTGTAGGGATGAGGGGCTGAGGCGTGGCGTTTGGGGTGGGTTGGGTGTCACCTGGGCTTATAAATCTCATCACATAGGTGAGTAGAGCGCCGTCTGGTACTGAGTAGCTCACACCGTGTAATAAATACATGCAGAACGCTTTGCTTTATTATATACGTACACATCCGTATGCAAATTTGGAAAACCCAGAAAAGTTCAAAGAAGAGAAGTAAAACTAATCAGTACTGCACTTCCCAGAGACAGCCGTCTTTACTACTTTGCTGGCTGTCTTTGAGATGTTGGTTAGCCAGTACGACATAAATGCTTATACGGTTGCCTTTCGGTGTCCTTCCTCATGTCCACCAGTGCCTGGTGTTTTGGGCGAGGCTGGGGTATGGCTGGACCAAACACAGTATCCCGGTCAGAAGTGTTAATAATCGCATCACGGATAGCTACCATATACGGAGTTTAAATATGGACAGGAAGGAACTATGCTCAGTGTTTCTCAGGAGTGATCATTTTTTTTTTTTTTTTTTGGTTTTTCTCCGGTACCGGGAACCGAACTCACGACCTTGCGCATGCCAGGCAGGCGCTTTTGCCGCTGAGCTAAATCCCCAGCCCCAGGAGTGATCATTTTTAATACTTACGCTCAACCCACCAGCTTGGTTGTTCTGTCTGACTTCCAATTTATAGGTGAGGGATCTGAGGATCAACGCATCAAAGAAATGATGTGACTGTCCTGAGGTTACACAATGGTGGAATTGATGTTTGAACCCAGACTTCACCCTGAAGTCCCTACACTGAATAAATTACGTGTATTGCATCTCTTATGCATCTTGGCTCCAGTCCACAATCCGACCAGGCAGAGCCAGGTTGCATCTTGCTCCGAGCAGCTCGGAATCCATCGTCTTTGCTCCTGCTGTGCCGGCCTCCGTTCAGGCTCAGAGCGTCCTGTCCCGGGAGGGTTCCTGTCCCGCTCCCCTCTCCCGGCCATTATTCCACGAACTCAGTTTTCTTTCTAGAAGCCGCATGAGCTGGGATGATGTCAGTCCTGGAAGCTGCTTCCTGTGTCCCCATTGCTTCTGCTGAGATCCTTTGTAGAGCACGAAGGGTCCCCAACCTCTGGCCCCCCTTTCCTGGTGCATTCACCTTCAGCCACTGCCAGCTTCCTGCCCTCGCCAGTCTCTTGCCCATTCTCTGCGTCGCCCTCCCCTGCTTTCTCACAGCCTTCACAAGACTTCAGGAAGCTTCCTTTTCCTCAGTCTGGAGAAAATCCCCTGTGCTTCTGTTGCCTGGGGCTTACCTTTCTCACTGCCCTATTAAACTCTGCCCACACTCGTTTGTCCTTTACAGCATGACTCCTGCTGGCAAGGGCAATTATCTTACGTTTCCTGACTGCTCCTTGCACAGGGCCTGAGTCACAGCAGACAGTAATTGGTATCTGAATGAATCTCAGTCCTCTCTATGTGTAGCAGCCGCTGAGAAGCCAACGCTGTACACGTGACTGGCTGCTGGGCGGGACTTACTTTAGAAGGCTCCTATTCTAGGAAAGAGAAACTTGCATATTCCCGGGAACAGCAGGAACTTTACAGCATTAGCAATGAATGTGCTGGAGCTGTGGTTTTGGAACTGCTCCCGCCTGGCAGTTGTTGGGAGCAGATTAGCCTCTGCCTCATCCTGCTGCTGCCTGGCAGCTCACAGCCACCTGCCTCCCAAATTCCAGCAAGCGTGAAAGACGCACTGGGGGGAGAGCAAGCTGGCTCAAGTGCTTTCCTTCCCCACTCAATGTCTTTTCTTCGTCAGAAGGGGATAATAGTTACTGCATCTCCCAAGTTTATGGGGGCTGCAGCCCTCACAGGAATAGACGATCTTGTAAGGTCTTTGGTTTTCTCAGTAACCCCACAGCTAATAACTCCTTAAACATGGAAGGCATCCTGAAAACATAATGGTCACGTCTTCTTTTAGAGGTAGAGAAACTGGGAGGGCTGAAAGGAAAGCTTAAGGATTCTGACAGGAGGCCCAGGAAGATACAGCAGGCTTAAAGGTCTTCCTTCACTCCTACCCCATCAGCATGTGCTCTCCTCGCCTGTAACTGCTCTTCTTGTTGCTTGTCTCTAGCGTCTTCCCCACTCAGGCAGGCCCACTCCTTCTAAAGGAGAATGCAGGTGGAGAGGGGACCCTGAGGAATAGATTTCTTTGAACTTCCAAGCAACTCCCTACCCTGTCTGCCCTGTCCTGTGTAGAAGCAGCACTGAGCTCCAAGTCCTGGCTCCTCTACCTGGCAGCACAGTCACTTGGAGGCCACGTGGGTGGACTGTAGAGTTTTTTGTGGAGAAGGACTAGGGAGTAAGGGGGAAGAGTTTGCGATTGATGCTGAGTGATCCACAGTATCACCCATTTGAGACTGGTGCCATCTAGTGGTCATAGGAAACCCTGGGTTTTGAATCGAGTTTTGGGGAATCTTATGAATTATAATTCTAATAATCATTCACTGGGTGCTTATTCTGTGCTGTGACTGTGCTAATTAAGGCCCAATATATATCTCCTCCTTTCACCATCAAGATAAACCTATGAAGCAGATAAAGCTATCCCAATTCTAGCAACGAGGAAATGGAGTTCTGTTACACAGGTAGAATCAATTCTGAAGAGTTGCCTGTATTCTCTGCAGCTGCATATTCTTCTACAACTCTCTTTTAAAAGACACTACTTACTTAAATAGGAAGTATATTGAGATTTTTAATTCAAAAGACACAAAAAATAAACAGAAATACTTTACTTCCACCGTTCCCCACAGTTTGTCAGGGCAATCCAGCTCTGAGCTGTATGCTTATCATTATGGAGAGAGGTAATGTATATTTAAACAAATATATGTATATATTCTCGCTCCCTATTTTTCTAAATAGCAGCTCCCTAATCCCATTATTTTGAGCTTTACTTTTTACATTAAAAATGTGTGGCTATATAGGGTCTATTTTGTTGAAAGACCATATTTCATTTAGTCAGTATCCCTCTATTTGTTTTTTTTTTCCTCCGGGCCGGGAATCGAACTCATGATCTCATGCTTGCCAGGCAGGCACTGTGCCACTGAGCTAAATCCCCAGCCCCAAGTATCCCTCTATTCATGTGTAGTTAGGGTACTGGAAGCCTTTTGCCATTGCAAGCAAATTCTTGATAGAGATTGCAAAATTGCCTAGATAGAGGTTTTATCAATTCAGTCCTAGCAGCAGTATATGAGTTTATCTTTTCCCCTATATAAGTATTGTTAACCTTTTAGATTTTGCTGATTCGGTGGGTGAAAAGTGGCATGGTATTATAGCTGTCATTTGCTTTTTTTTTATTGTCTATGAAGTAACAAATATACTGAACCCAGAAGGAAAAACTGGGAAAAGATGGACCCCCCCATAAAATAATAACAAACATGTCTAAAATATTGATAAGCCAGAAGGAGGAATGAAATATAAACATAACTGAAAATTTCTAATAATAGTGACTATTAAGTTTACAAAACCAAATAATAACAAATAACATGAGAATGAGGCCAATAAGGTCTTTATCTCATTTGGAAGGAAAGTTGAGATACTGATTAACTTCAATTGTTGCCAAGTTAGTCATGTTAAAAATGTAGGGGTAACTTTTTTTTTTATTTTAAAGAGTAAAAGAAGGATAACATAATAATAGGGGGGGCTTACCAAATTGCGGACAAAGTGGTGGGAGATTATCAATGGTTATTGTTTTACATATTGTTATCTACAAGATAGTTTCTCAGGAACACAAATAGACGAATAATAGTGAGTTACAGAGAAAAGAAGTGGGAGATTA